CGTAGAGTTCCGCCTTGTCGTCGAAGCCAGTCGTCCAGAAGACCTCGCGGTTGTTGGGGTTGGGGCCGCCGTTGAAGTGCTGCTCCTGGCCGTAGTAGACGATGGGGATGCCGTCGCGGAGCATGGTTAGAGCGTACATGTTCTTGGCGAGGGCGACGTCGCCGTTAAGGTAGGGGAAGCGGGGCTGATCCTGGTTCTCGACGAAGGAGCCCCAGACGGAGGGGTCGATGGAGGACATGCCGGCCATGGTGTTGGCGCTCTCGTAGACCTTGTCCATGTCGCCCTCGAGGGTGGAGAAGACGGTGGCGAAGAGGTGGTAGCTGCTGTAGTCCATGATGCCGTCGAGGTAGTTCTGGTAAGGGGCGAGCAGGGTCAGGGAGGAGTGGCTGACCTCGGCGAGAAGGAAGACGCCGGCGGCCTCGCGGAAGCCGCCCTCGGTGAAGAACTCGGGCTCAATCTCGAGGGCGGTGTCAACGCGGAGGCCATCGATGGAGTACTTTGTGACGAGGTCCTTGATCCACTCGGCATAGATCTTACGGACGAAGTCGTCCTCGGTGCGGAGGTCGGGCAGACCCTCGAGCCAGCAGAGCTGCTCGGACTGGAGGTTGTTCCAGTTGATGGAGCACTCCTTGTGGTAGTACTCGGGCTTGTTGAAGGGCTTGTACTTTGTGTAGTTGCCGGGGGAGTCGTTCAGACCGGAGTGGTTGGGGGCGACGTCGACCATGAGGTACATGCCGCGGGCGTGGAGGGCGCTGGAGAGCTCCAGGAGGTCGGCCTCAGTACCAAAGTGCGGGTTGATGGAGTAGAGGTCCTCGGTCCAGAAGCCGTGGTAGCCCTCTCCGTTGCCGCCAACGTTTCCCTCGACGTTCTTCACGACAGGCGAGATCCAGATGGCGGTGGCACCAAGGTTCTGGATGTAGTCCAGCTTGCTGGTGATGCCCTTCCAGGTGCCGCCGCAGTACAGGCCCGGGGTGATATCGCAGACTGGGGTCGAGCCATCAGAGGTGGCAAAACGGTCGGTGATGATTTGGTAGATGCTCTGGTTTCTCCATCCGGCGGCATCCAGGGCCGAGACGCCTTGGAGGGCCCCGACGGCCAGCAAAGAGAGTGTTGTTGCGAAGGAACGCATGTTTACACAGTTGATGAGAAGATTATGGTATTAAGGCAGTGGTCGATTATCCAAGAGAAGGAAGAACAACAGACAAAAGAAGATACGACGTAAAGAGAGTCGGTTTGTGAACTATTGGAGTGTAATGTACGGCAGGGATCAAACGAACGATAACAGCACAAGGCAGAACGAGTGATTGCCTTGGCTTGAACTGCGGCACCTGTAGGGAGAGAGGGATGGAAGGAGGGAGGAAGGAGGAAGAGAGACTAAGCGGAAGTGTAAAGACAGCGGCTGAGTAGCATATATTGTATCTTCGCACCAACGAGGACTACGAGCAGTTTACTCCCACATACCAGACTCTCGTCTTTTGACGAGAACCTCGCTTCGCGGACCCCCTTCGAATCGCCCCTGCCAAAAGGGCTGTGCTATTGGCAGAATACGAATGAAATGCCAGATCGAGTGGTCCCAGCCGATTTAGGTGAGCTCACGTTGTCCCTTTTGAATCAGATCCCGGCTGTCGTCCCCATCTGTAGATCCACTACCGTCCCTACCCATGCGGTGGATGGGGTGGTCTAGAGTCCTAGACGTAGCATCCTTTGACAGTTCGGATACTGCGAAACGCATCGTTAGTGGAAAGGAAGGATTTAAGCGAGGGGAAAAGTCAGAAATACGAGAGAAGGGGGACAACAAGACTCTTGGGGGGAGGATATCAGAGCCCAAGAGGAAGGCGGTCGTGAAGAAGAGGCTCCTTTCTGCGCATCCTGAACAGGGTGTTTGGGCGCTAAGACAATCTACTTTAGACAGTCGACCCCGGCTCTCCCGTCCGAGTCGGCTCGAAAACGGCAAAGCCCCAAGTCGGATAGTTTCCGGCGACGGGGGCTCTTCTCCACTTTCATCCCGATCGGTCAATATTCCACTATTCTATAGAGTGCTTTTCTGATTAATCGCGTTGGCTCCTCCGGCGTGAATGAGCGAATGGATTCCCGGCTTTTCCTAATCGGTGAACCTGCGTTTGGGAGAGAGTACTACGTAGATGTTGCTCCCCCCTTCTACAGTGCTGCAGCACCGCAGTGCTGGAGCTTTTGTTCCTGGTCCTATCTGGGTTTAGTCCATCGGTGTGAGCGTGTTTGTCACTTGTGACGTTCCCACGTTCCGACGCAGGAGTAACGGGGTCTTCCGTGAGGCTGTGAGATCGAGCTCGAGCTCGAATCAGATTCAATGAAATGGGACCAACTGGTGGACTTTTGAAGTATCCATGGATAGCTCCTGAGGTGGGTAGGTGCTGAATTTGGTGAACGGGTGGGGCAGGCTAGCGCGACCTCCGAAGATGTTTGTTTCACAGCACCCTACCTTCTCCTTCGAGTCAATTGAGATATCAATATCGAGCCAAAGTCGTATCCCGATGTTGTAGAGATGTAACGACGGGTACAGCTATATTGACCACTCTCAGGCTGTCGAAGCAGTCTGAAGGTAAGAGTCCTTCACATGAACGCAAACCCCCTTTCTCAAACCAGTTCATTCTCATCATCATCCTCACGTGGGCTGTTTCTAATTGCTCTTACTAAAAGACTGCTGATCGTCTTCGTATAGCGACAACATACTTTCAGTGTTCAATGTAATTGACTTTTCGTTGGATTCGAGTTGGTTGCCCGAGCTGTGTCGCTAACATTCTCGGACAATTGGTGAGATTTGAAAGTGGAAGAAAGATTTTGCGGAAAGCTTGGATCAGAGAGGACTTTGTCCAGCGACACGTTTAAATTTCATAGATGCCCCCAACTAATCCGCTTGATTTTTGGTTGAAGACGTATCTTGCGGCTCTCCTTCCTCGCCGAGTTCAGTCTTACAAGCATCAACTCTTCGGCTATGCAGATAGCGGACGGAGGGTTTTTTGGTAAGGAAGGTACAGATGCTTATTGCACAGCGTGCTCAATGCGAACGGCCCACTTCTCCGGATAATGAAAGATATATCAGACCTTCAGAGAACTTATGCACCTACTATCCGCACTAGAATGAAAGATATAAATGAAGACAGAAAATGGTGAGAATATTCCCACAGACGGGGTACTCGTCCGCGGGCAAGGAGGTGAGCACGATATAGTGGAGAACCCACCGTACCTTAGATGCAACCTCTTTAGGCGGCTCCTGTGACATGACGTAAGTTGGAAGACGGCACATGGCTTCCAGCAGACAGAACGACGCGATGTGCTTGTGGCCGCATACGCATCCGCTACATGATACAGGCATATCTGGACTGTATTCTTGCATCCATGTTGCATTTGACATGCAGAGAATTGATTTTTAGATGGACAACGGCGGACGTTGCAAAACCGACGCCGTTGAAGTTTGAATGGGTCCCGCCAACCTTTTTTAATGGGCACTGCGACCTTCTAGTCTCAACTTTAAAAAGCGTACCTACCTTACTAAGGCAAGCACGCAAGCTCCTTCCACGTGCCCAGGAAACGAACCCGACGACATGTCTCCATGGTGTCGATGGGAAAACGAAGATGAGCATCGCTGTGATATCTTGGATGCACAAGAACTCCTGCAGCGATATTAACCTGACATCTCACTCACAGTCACATCGCACAAGATGTGGTGAGACTCGAGGAATGATGTCAATAGGACCATCGAGAGCCAAGAAATGCGGCACAAATCCAGCCGTGGCAGGACCGCTTAGCGCTTTCTGGGCACAGCATTAGGTCGCAGGTACTGAATCTTGACTTCACTGGGCGATGCCCCAAATCCTTGGCGATTGGGAAAAGAGCAGAACGGCATCACAGGCACGTGATGCCAGAATTCGAAACCCAATCAAGGCAGGCACAAGCTCCGAGTTCACCTCACCTCCATCTCACATCACATCACAGGCAGGGACACCCAGGCGTTCTTTCCCGCACTAGTTCAAATTGACAGGGGCAGGCTTTCCCTCCTTCCTACCCTACCTTACCTGACAAACAACGGCGGACCCATCTACTTCTGCAGATTCAACGTCATCTCAACCGCCTTCTCTCATTCTTCTCACTACAGACTTCGCGCGGAAGCAATCCAATTTGCCGGCGTACTCCAACACAACCTCTCATCTTCGACGGGTCTGAGGTCGATCCCACCCTCTTCACATTCGAGCGAACCCTCCAGCGATAGTTTTCGACCGATGGAACGCGTGCTAACTTGTCTTTTCACAACTAGGTTTCGAATCCATTCTACCTAGCACGCTCTGGCTACCACTCGAAATCAAATAAATGATCTACACTCGAGTGAGATTTCTCTCGCCACAACCTGCCTTACGAGTACCGACCTCCTTTCGCTCCCACAACCAGCACAACCCCTTCTCCGAACATGAAGCTATCCTCCCTGTCACACCGTCTGCGAGCGCAGACGTGGGAAGCGTCATGACGTCGTCCAAGATCCTCCAATGCCTGCCGGTAAGTGCGAACAAACTTGTCGATCTGCTGCTTCAGTTCCATTTCCTATTGTCCCATGGTTTTACCAATTCTTGCGGGTTTGTTCCCCGCATTCAACCCCATCCCCGCGTTCCACTCAGTCCATAGGAGCGACAGCGCTAGCTTTCCACCTTCCCGGTGACGTTCGAGGTGAAGCTTCACGGAGAAGTCTCCGATTACGTCGTTATACGCAGCTATCTCCAATTTTCCGTTCCTTGGCGAGTGTCTGGATACATAAGGAACCAAGCAGTCCAAAGCTGGGAGGCTACCTTGGCTGTCTTGGGATCAAAATCTACCCACCTATTGCTCCTCCAGTCTCCAATCTGCCCCCCTGTGCCAGGACGCTCCTCCCTCGTGGCAGTGTCCCGACTTCCACTTGACTTCACCCCCCAAACGTACTCGGCATACAATTATCTTTTCTTCCCAGCTGAGGCTCGTTCGTCATCACCGCCAACATGGCTTCGGATCCGAAGCGAGAAAAGATCGGCGATCAGTCATCGTCAGACCATGCCGAAACCGATTACGCTCATATAGACCACCCAGGACGACAGTCCGAGGCCACGGCGGTTGACGAGGAAGAGAGAAAGCGCCTGGAGGCTTCTCGGAAGCTGGAGAACCCTCTTGCTGGCTTCACGCCTGAACAGTTGAGTCAAAAAGGCGAGGACTACTGTCAACAGCATGGCATCACCGATGAAGAAGACATTCGGGCTTTTCGCCTGGGCGCCATGATCGCTGGAAATATGAACAAGTACGATAGCATGACTGAGATCTCTGCCGATGAACGAGCAGTGCTTGACGGCGAGTCCACTCACAAGTGGCGGAACCCCAAGATGCTCTATGGTGTTGTTGCTGGTCGGTCTTCTAGTATCTTTACTCTTTTTCCTATTTCTACATTTCCTTTGTCTGGTTTCATTCGTACCTCTCCAGCCTCTCTCCGTCTACGTCTTCCTCTCTACGTACAGAGGTTGACCCTCCCCAAGTCTGTTCATTCTGCGCTGTCGTTCAGGGTATGGACGAGACTGTTGTCAGTGGTGCTCAGTCCTTCTACAAGAAGCAGTTCGGCATCGGAGGAGAGACTGAGCGAGACACCTGGCTCCTTGGCCTGACAAACTCTGCTCCATATCTCTGCTGCGCCGTCATCGGTTGCTGGCTGACAGAGCCCATGAACAAACGGTTCGGTCGCCGGGGCACCGTCTTCATCTCCTGTCTCATCTCTGCCTTGGCCTGTTTTTGGCAGGCTTTCACTAACACTTGGTGGCATATGTTCATCGCCCGTTTCTTCCTCGGTTTTGGTATCGGCCCCAAGTCTGCCACAACTCCCATCTTTGCTGCCGAATGTGGGCCTCCTCGCCTGCGTGGCGCCCTCGTTATGCAGTGGCAACTGTGGACAGCCTTTGGCATCATGATGGGTTACGTTGCCGACTTGGCATTCTACTACGTGCCTGACAAGAGCGGTATCGTCGGTCTCAACTGGAGACTGATGATGAGTAGCGCTATGCTGCCTGCTCTTCTTGTCTGTGCATGCTGCTACATGTGTCCTGAGTCCCCTAGATGGTACCTGACCAAGAATCGCCACTCGGACGCCTACAAGCCCATGTGCCAGTTACGCTTCAAGAAGGTACAGGCTGCTCGCGACCTCTTCTACGCCAATGCCCTCCTACAGGCTGAGAAGGAGACGCAAGGCATCGGTAAACAGAACCGACTTAAAGAGTTCTTCACCGTTAGAAGGAACAGAAACGCCATGATTGCGTCAGAAATTGCCATGGGTACGCAACAGCTGTTGTTGAAGAAAGGGGACCCTCACCTGCCTGCTCCATGTACCTCCATGCAGGTCCATGTACAGGCTGGAGGCTTCCAGCCTTTATCCCCTATTACCTATTAATAGTCCATAGGGATCCCTTTCCCTCAGGAAGGGATCTCTTCTTCATGCATAGCAATACATGGTATCACATCCGATCCCTTCCTTCCTTCAAGTGCTGTGTGGAATCAATGTCATAGGTAAGGGCAAATTTCGTGATCTAACGGTGTTTGTGTAGTACACAAACATGATGGAATGGTTGAAATACATGAATTTTCGGTTTGGCCGCTTGTAAAACGCGAGCGAGGGATGCAGGAGATGTTTGGGACTCAAAAACTCTTCATCCGAATGACCTCACACAGTATGCTGATTATGGGTAGCTTATTATAGCTCCGAGATCTTCCTGGCGGCTGAATTCAGCGAAGTAAGTGCCTTGTCGGCGTCCCTTGGTTTTGGCATCATCAACTGGCTCTTCGCTCTACCGGCTTTCTATACGATTGATACTTTCGGGCGGCGCAACTTACTCCCGACAACATTTCCACTGATGGCCGTCTGTCCATTTTTTACTGGCTTCTCGTTTTATATACCTACAAACCCCGCCAAGATTGCCTGTATTGCCCTGGGCATCTATCTCTTTGGCATGGTCTATTCCCCTGGCGAGGGGCCAGTGCCTTTCACCTACTCAGCCGAGGCCTACCCCTTGTACATCCGCCCCATCGGCATGTCTCTGGCGACGGCGACAACGTGGTTCTTTAACTTTATTCTGGCCGTAACCTGGCCCTCTCTCCAGAAGGCCTTTACACCTACGGGCGCTTTTGGGTGGTATGGCGGCTGGAACATTATCGGATTCTTTCTCGTTCTCTTCCTGCTTCCCGAGACCAAGGAGAAGACACTCGAAGAGCTGGACGGTGTGTTCAGCGTACCTTTGCGTACCTTTGCGCGATATGGGCTCGCGCAATTCTTCTACTTTTGGAAGAGGTACGTCTTCAGGCAGGATGTTAGCCCGCCTGCTGTGCCCCATGCTGGAAGCATTGATTATCATCGGGATTCGTTTGCGCAGGAGAAGCAGCATGACCCGATTGCCCGTGTTTGATAAGGGCTGCTCAAGGGCCACTCGAGCTCGGAGACAAGTTGCTGCTTAATCAGAGCAGCGTAGGATGGATTAAAAGGCCCAGGGAGGATTACCGCTGTATGATAATGGCGTGATGGTATCACTTTCTATTGCTTGAGAAATGTTCGGAAGGTGTAATGTCTATCAGAGCAAGGAATACTTGTCTGAGCAACGACTTGTTCTCATTGTATTACAATCTGTATGGAAACAATCTATAAAGCGATCGTTGTCAAGCACACGATCGTGAAAGATCGATGGATCACCAGAGGTTGCATCCTCAGAATCTGGTGAAGTCTGCTTTTGACGGTTTTCTGACTCCACTTATCTAGTGCAGGTGAAGGGTCTTCACGAGCTCTCGAATACTCTTTGGGACTGAAGGGCGAGGTGCACCGTAAGGTACTTGGGCCACTTCTCCTTCTCTCCTACCGTAAAGGGCCGAAGGGGAACGTGGCCGAGGGGTATTTAGAGGGAGTCATAGATTAATCCATAAGTCCGAGGCCTCACTCAACCTAACCTTTTGTTCGATTCACCATTGATGACTCCTTTTTATACACTCTCCTTCAGCATCTCACCCTGTTCCATTACTTTACTTCCACTCAGCCGAAAACATCGGCATCGCTTTTTCTTGGTTTTTGTCCTATGCGATTCTATCGTACTATTCAGGCCCCAGCATCTTCCACTCTCGTGTCACTCTTACCGGAAGAACAAGTAGGTATGCCCCGCATGCGTATTCGTCACCTGCAACCTGAGGTATCACAGGACATGGCGGAGCATAGACTATATACTGATTCGCCTCGGAAATTCTCAACAGCAGTAAAAGGGACTCTTGCCCAGAAGCTTAAGATGGTTATACCCCTAATCCTGAAGTGCAAAGCTACCGAGCTGTAGTTTCTGGATTCGGATCCCACAAGCGACTTTCCTTTCCTTCCTTTTCTTCTTCCTCGCTTTATGATTTGTTCCCGGCGTGAGGCTGGAATATTTCACTTCGTTGATTGGGCAGAGGGAACTACAGATAATCTGCCTTGAGGTATGCATACCCCCGTCCTTGCGGATACAAACTTACAATATTCGCACAATACGCTCGTGATATATACGTGTGATGAACCGGTCTTCGAGACAGATAGACTGCAATTTGTCTACCTGAGACGGCTCCTTCATGACCAAAGCATCCAAAAATGTCACTGGCTAGAAGTGAACGGTGCGGTGGAGCTTGAGGCCATTGATCAAGTAGAAACTGCCAAATATATAAGGGGCAGAACACCCCCGACGGAGCAATCCGCCGGGGCAGTACCGTGTATTACGTATTGGGGAAAACTGGGTATATTGCGCTCCATACCTAACTACTAACCAAAACTCCCGACCTTCCGCCGCCCGTCTACAGGGCGAGCTTCACCCACTCCAACGCGCACAGGACCTCCTGGTGCCAGCCCGCGTGGGCAGCCAGGTTTAGCATAATCCGTTCTTTTTTATAGGTATTATCGTCGCTCGGGGGGGGGGGGGGGGGGGGGGAGGGTGTGCGTGCGCGCTGGGCCTCCCACTCCCGCGCCGGCCGCCTGGCCGGCTCGGTGTGGCGTGCGGGCGGTGTGTTGGTTTCTTTGTTTGTTTTGTGGGGTGCGGGGGGGGGGGGGGGGGGGGGGGGGGGGGGGGGGGGCGTAGGAGCTGTCTGAGGCGCCGGCTTGTCGCCCTGACCCTGTGCACCTCCGGCCCGCCCATCGTGGCCATTATGGCCAGGCCGGCGTCGATGTGCCGGATCCTGGCATCCGTACCGGCCCGGCTGTCCACGGCGTTCGTGCCGTCGCCTAGCCGGATTCCGCACCGTCGGAACGCCCTGCGTTGCTTCTCTAACTTCAACATGCCCATGGTGGCCACGATGGCTACGGCGTCGAGCTGGCCGAAGTCGTCGAGCCTGAGAGGGGCAGACTTGTCGAGGGGCATCGTTGGAGGCGGGCTCGTCGACGTGGTTGTTTGACTGGCCGGCAAATTGACTGGGGGTTTGTGCGGGCTGGAGAGGGTGATGTGAGATGTGATGAGGATGGACAGAGTCTTCGTCAGCTCTGGTGAGAAGTAAGATCTGTCCCGTTGAGTCTTGTCCGAAGGAACGTCGTGTTGAGTGAGGCATGGAGATCTTGGCGCTTGCAGAAGTCGCCCTCCATTTCAACGCCTTGCGGTCGAGGACGAAGCGCTGGGGGGTGCCCAGCCTCGACCGACGTGTGGTTGATTTCTTCGGAAGCCAATGTGGTGTCGTTTGAACTCTGACCACAGGTCTTTAAGGTCTCTGGATCGTCTCCCTCTGTCGCTTAGTCGACTCTTTGGGTAATAGTGCCAGCACTATTTACACTTTGTCGTGTATATTCCCGGGAGGGTTGGATCATCCTCTGGACCTGCATAATCTCCAGCTGAATGCTGGCTGTCTTATGCGAGGCATGTCGTAACGGGGAGGGCTAGATCTCCATCTAAACCTGTTCAATCTCCAGCTTGTCACTGGCTGTCTTGTACGAGGTGAAGGCTGAAGTGTTAAACCCTCTGATAAGCCTGCGTAATCTCCTGCGTGTTGCAGGCTGTCTTATGCGAGGCCAGTGCTGTAGGTCGGCGGTGTTGGGTGCATTCGGGACTGTCGCAGCCCCTTCCCTATGGCTCAAGGTTGCCGAGAGATGGGCCATTTCGGGAACGGTAGTGGATATGTTGGAGACCTCCGCGGTCGATGGGGAGAGACTCCAGTAATCCATGAGTCGTTGATCCTCGAGCTGTAGGAGGAGAGCTATGTGCGACAGGGGTGATGGGTACACAAGGGGGTGCCATTTGTGCTATCTGGCATGCCCTGGTCTTATGTGAGCATAAGGTATGTGTGTAACCAAGCAGATATGATATCAGCGGCCTGTTAAGGGCTTGATAAGCTGCGTTGTCGGTGGCGTTCAAGCTGAACCGGTGTTGGGGGCTTGGGAATCCATAGAGGGCTCCTGTTGCCTCGAGGGGATGGAAGGAGGATGAGACTGTGTCTGAGGAGAGAGAAGAGAAGAGGAGAGAAATTGTAAGGGAAAATGAGAGCATCTTATAGGAATTTGGAAACATCAAGGTGCTCGAAGGGCCATGACCCATTCTATCTCCGCTGTCTTTAAGGTCATGAAGCCCCTCGGCTAAGTGCCCTGATGGCTATGTCAAGTTTCAGTTTCGTCACCCATTAACGGAGGTGGACTACCTTGAGGGTAGAGTGGCAGAGGAAAGTCAAATGTCGAGAACTCCTGCATAAACCTCTTGGGCTTCCACGCGACCTTGCGGGAGGGTGTATGGGAAATAGTATAGTTGCCTCGAGGACTGGCTCTGGGAAGTTTTGGAACCGTCTTTAGATCTGGTTGTACTTCAACCTCCAAAGATCGTCATTGAAACTCAAGAGTCTTGAGAAGCAGGTAAGAAGAACCGAAAGTCATGCTACTGGTTCTCAAGCACAGGTATGCGAACAGCTACAAGGGGAAAGCAGGCACGGTGTTATCGTATTGGCTTATGATATCAACGGTACGAATCGTTCGACGCCATACAAGTCAGTTTGTAACTAAGAACAACCCTGATGATCATGGCGTTCTCAAGTTTTTGGAGATATGTTATTGTCTCTTCTGGTTGTGTCAGGTGACAGTCCGCTCAATCGGAGGTTGGATGACTGGAGAAACGTCCTACCGCAAGCGAGAGACATATAGTTTTGCATCCCAACGCGAATAAACCGACTGAAAAGGCAATGTGACTGAAAATATCGCCCGCACCTTGGGACGGAAATAGAGTTGACAGCGGATCAGCAAACGGGACGGCAGCCATCCACTGGATCGGGTCTGGGCTGTTTTTTTGGCGACCATCGGGAGCCAAGTGCCAGGGTAGGAGCTCCGGAGCTCCAACTTGCTAGCTTCCAGAAAGAGGGCCGAAAAACCGTGCATTAGCGCTACTGCAAGCGTCCGGGAGGGAGGCTTGGGAGGGGCGACCGCACGGGAAGGACGCTGGAGACGTTGCAGGCGCCGCGGCAGCTGCCAATCAGACCGGCCGGCGCGGTGACCCTCCCCCAGGCGGTTTTCTATCGATAAGATCGGTTCGTACCCCGGAAGCAGCGTCTGTGACCCCTGCAGTGCGCCAGTGATGCGGTGGTGCATCACTGGGTGCGACCTGACAGCTGACGTCAGGGGTCTGAGATGGACGCAGCTTCCCGCGCGACTACAAACAGAGCTCACCTCCCTGGTTTCCCTCACACGATGCTGCCGTTGCTTGTGTTTGCTTCACCAACTTACCGTTTCATCTGTGCCCTCTCTTCTTCTCGTTCTGTGTTTGTGTGTCTGAGGTAGACACGAGATACAGACAGACAGGCAGACTTACAGAAAGGCTGACCGACATATTCACCGTCCGCTTGCTTGGTGTCTAATCATAGCCCGTGATTTCTTTGTAGCTTTTCACCTTGTATTCACCGTGCCCCTTTCCTGCCTTCGCCTAATTCCAGGGTGGCAGTTGGTACCTCGAAATATTGCCCAGTATGGAAACCGCGCCTGGCTCTTCGCCTTCCCCGGCAGCACCTGCCGTGGGGCAGGATGCGGTTGTGCAGGAGGCAGCGACGGACGTACCACCTCACAACCACCCAAGGAGTACAAACACAGAAACCCCTCCTGCCAGCTCTCACCCTGCTGCCGTACCTGATCCGACTTCCAATCCTGATCTCAACATCAACACTTTACCCTCGGAAAACGACGAGGACCAATACAACTACGCCTACTCTGACGAGGAGAATTTGGACGCATCTTCTATTTGCTCCTTTGAAGAAGAAGAAGACGGTAACTGGGAACGAGACCCAGACGACCCCGATACAATGGCCGGCTCGAGACGCCCTCACGGCCAGCGCCGTCGTACTCAGACCGATCTTACCGGCGTCCTCACTCTCGAGGAGAAGAACGAGCTCATTAACCTGGTCAGCAACATCTTGGACAGCATGCAGGACCAGATAAGCAACATCTTTCACTCTCCTCCCATCACTCCCGCTACGACCGAGGACCCCCAGCACTCATGGCTATCCCTTTCGCTGCTGAAGAACAAGGTGACCAGCAAGCCTGCCACCCCTCAATCTGAGAGCAGCGTCAACAAGGAGAATGCCGGCTCTGCTTCGACTTCGAACCAGCAGAAGGGTGGGTTGACGTACAACAAAGCCCATGAGATAGTCGAGAAGGAAGAGAAAGAGGCCATGACGCCTCAGCTTCAGGAGCTCAAAAAGGAGTGTCTTGTCGTCTTCAGGAAGTGGCAGGGCAATGTCCTGACGCGCGCCAAGGACATTTCGGTCAAGGATTCCGAAGCTTCAGCCGCCCCAGCCGGTCGTGGAGGTCGGGGTGCCGTTCGTGGAGCCCGCGGCGGTCGCGGTGATCGCGGTGCACCTCAGGGAGGTCGAGGCACTGCCCCGCGCGGCCGTGGTAGTAGAGGTGGCGCCCTCAGCGTCAAGACAGGTGGTACGTTAGCAGCTGCCCACCCCATAATCCCGAGCTTATATGCTGACTTGAACAGGCCCGCCGGCTACCCGTCAACCCGAGACCGACCTCTGGCTCATCAGACGATTCCCTCCGAGTGCCACACCACTGACCGCCCTACCCATCGAGCGCCGGAAGTTGTTGCTTCACACAATTCTGCTGCTTCTCCTGTCACTGGAGCAGTACACGGCCTTCTCTCGCGTCTTCATGCTCAAGTTGGCGTCATCGCTTCACCTAACTCTCCGCTTCTTTCAAGAGGATGAGGTTCGGGTTGCCAGAGGTCTCGGCAAGACTGTGCAGGAGGTCAACGCTGATGAGGTAGTGGAGGACAAGTCTGCGGAGAACAAATCGACCAGACGCTGGAAGGTTGGACTTGCTGGCGCCGCCGGTGCTGCCATCATTGGTGTCACTGGAGGTCTTGCGGCTCCCCTAGTCGCTGCTGGCATTGGCACCGTTATGGGCGGTGTTGGACTTGGTTCCACGGCGGCAGCTGGATTGCTCGGCACTCTGGCCCAGAGTGGCGTTGTCGTTGGCAGCTTATTCGGCATTTACGGCGCTCGCCAGACATCCAAGATGATGGACCAGTACGCCAGAGATGTTGCCGACTTTGCGTTTCTACCTCTACATGGCGAGATGCGAGATGAGTATCGCGACGCCAAAGAGATCCCGTCCAAGGATCGTCGCCTTCGAGTTGTCCTTGCCCTCAGTGGTTGGCTCACTCAGAAGGAAGATGTGGTCAACCCCTGGCGTTGCATCGGCCACCAAGGTGAGGTATACGCTGTGCGATGGGAAGTTGCCAACCTGATGAATATGGGAAACTCGCTCGAGACTGTCATCAAGAGTACCGCCTGGAGTGTTGCCAAGAAGGAAATCATCACGCGGACCAGTAAGTCTCTCGCCACGTAACGCAAAGCCCCCTTGCTAATCAGTTATAAGTCTTTGCCAGCCTCATGTCGGCCATGTGGCCCATTGGCCTTCTCAAGGTCAGCAAGGTCATTGACAATCCTTGGAGTGTCGGAATGGTCCGAGCCGAGAAGGTCGGCATGATCCTAGCGGAGGCCATCAGTCGCAAAGTGCAGGGCGATCGACCTGTTAGCTTGATTGGCTACAGCTTGGCTGCCCGAGCCATCTACACCTGCTTGATGGTCCTTGCCGAACGCCGCCAATTCGGCCTCATTGAGTCCGTGGTCATGATTGGCACCCCGGCGCCATCCGAAAGCCGAGTTTGGCTTGCTTTGAAGAGCGTCGTTGCTGGCAGACTTGTCAACGTCTACTCGGAGAACGATTATATTCTGGGCTTCCTGTACCGGACGTCCAACCTTCAGTTCGGCGTTGCTGGCTTGCAGCCAATCCAGGGCGCCGAAGGCGTAGAGAACTACGACGTGAGCAGCATGGTTAGCGGCCACCTGAGATACCAATACATGATTGGTACCATCCTCAAGAATATTGGCTGGG